AACCCGCTACCTTAGGTGTACCCGCGCCTTAGCCACTTGGGCCACAGGTGCCAAGCCCCTGTGGTGGTTTTTAAGTGTTCACAAATTCTTGGATACTCTTCCCTTAGGCAGAGCCTAATTCCCTTTTCTCTGAATGGGGACTGGACTCACTATTAGAATGATAGAATGGGGTGAAAGTGGCAACGTATGACTTTTGAGGTTAGGTCAGAAAAGGTGTTGCAACTTCAGCTCTGCTTTCTTTTTTTTTTCTTTTTTTGAGTCAGAGTCTCACTTTCTTGCCCCTGATAGAGTGCCATGGTGTTAGTGCTCACAGCAATCTCAAACTCTTGGATTCAACTCTAGCAATCCTCTTACCTCAGCCTCCTACTTGGAACTATAAGAACCCACCACAAGAGACGGGGGTCTTGCTCTTGCTGAGGCTGGTCTCGAACTCCTGAGCTCAAGCAATCCATCCACTTCAGCCTTCCAGAGTGCTAGAATTACAAGCGTGAGCCATCACACCTGGCCTATTCTGCTTTCTCTTGGATGAGTCACTCTAGAGCAGTGGTTCTCAACCTTCCTAATGCCTCAATGTATTTTCACTGTTACAAAGGGGTCACAACTCACAGGTTGAGAACCCTGCTCTAGGGGAAACCAGTTGCTACATCATAATGTCTTTCAAATATCCCTGCAGAGATGCTATATGAAGAAAACCTGAGGCCTCCTACTGACAGCCAGCAATCCCATAACTGTACCATCTTGGAAGGGGATCCTCCAACTCAGTCAAGGCTTCAGATAATAGCAGTCCCGGGCAAAGACTTGACCAACCACAGCTTTACTGAGCCAAGAACCAGCCTGCCAAGATACCCCTTAATTCCTGTAAGAGATAACATATGCTTATTGATTCTTTTTTCTTTTTTTTGAGACAGAGTCTCCACCTGTCACTCCAGCTAAAGTGCTGTACCTTCAGCCTAGCTCACAACAACCTGGGCTCAAGGGATCCTCCCACTTCAGCCTCCCAGATAGCTGGGATGATAGATCTACAGCCAGCCACAACACCAGGCTAATTTTTTTTTTTTTGAGACAGAGTCTCACTCTGTCGCCCTTGGTAGAGTGCTGTGGCATCATAGCTCACAGCAACCTCCAATTCCTGGGCTTAAGTGACTCTCTTGCCTCAATCTCCCTGGTAGCTCAGACTACAAGTCCCCGCCACAATGCCTGGCTCTTTTTTTGTTGCAGTTGTCATTGCTGTTTCCGCTGGCCGGGGCCAGGTTCAAACCTGCCACCCTCGGTATATGGGGCTGGCGCCCTACCCACTGAGGCACAGGCGCCGCCCCAGGCTATTTTTTTTTTTTTATGGAAATGTTGTCTTGCTGTTACTCAGGCTGGTCTTGAACTCCTGAACTCAAGTGACCCTCCCGCCTCAGCCTCCCAGAGTGTTCAAATTACAGGTGTGAGCACCAGGTTGCAAATGATATTTTAGATTGCTAAGAGGAAGGGAACTGGAGAGATATTGCAGGAGGAAAAGGTTTTTGCTTCTGGGTTGCAGTGTGCTTGATCTACAGCAGTGGTTCTCAACTATCCTAATGCTGCAGTCCTTTAATACAGTTGCTGTGGGTCACGACCCACAGGTTGTGAACCACTAATCTACAGGTTCCTGCAGCCCAAACAGCTTTCCCAGCAGCACCCCGTGTCTAGCAGCTTCTCTGAGCACAGCCGCCCCTGGGCTGTAGCGCAAGCTGAACGCCTCCACCTCCTGTAGCTTTTGCAGCTTCTCCAGTACCTGCCAGCTGTGTGCACAAGGCTTCCCCAGCCTTAGGCTCCCGTAGCACCCACAGGCTCTCCAGCACCAGGCTCCTGTGGTACTTGGGGCCAGCAGCACCCAGAGGGTAGCAGCTTCCCCTGTCCCCATGTGGTTTGTTTCCATGTCTCCCCATGAAGAGCTTCCTGGAGGGCACATTTCTGGCAGGTTCCACTAGCATGACAGTACGACGACAACAACGCCTCTGCAAGGTCTGGATTTCAGCCCCAAGGGAGGGTTGGAGTGTTTCTTCCTTGGGTGGGCTACCTTAGCCTGGGGCTAGGGCTGCTGCTGCTCCTGTGTCTGCTGTTCATGTATTCTCTAGGGGTCTCTTTGCTCCTTACTAATTCTATGTTACTCTAATCCCTTGTTTTAAAATCTTCTGTTCAAATTACCGTGTGGTTTCTCTCTCTTGATCATACTCAGATCCAGATACACCAAGTTTTGTTGCTATTTGTCACACAGCAACAGTTAAGTACTACACCGCTCCCATCACACCTGCCCACTTCAAGTTCTCCTTTCATTACCATCAGCCGGTTGCTAGCGTGTGCCTACCTTGAGCGGGCTCTTCCTTCAGGCTTGGAATAAGCAGTCAGATTACTCCACTGCAAAAAAAGGAACAAGACAAAACAAAAAAGCCCCAAGGTTTATAAGATCCGAGCTTTAATTTGCCAAATGCCAAGTGAGAAATTCAGATGAGAAACGCTGCCAGAAGTACTAAAGGCTGGTACAGTAGAAGAAAGGTCTAGGCTGTGGTGGGGTGTGGTTCAGCTCTGATGACACTAGAGGCACACACAGCCCAGAGGAAAGGAGAACGAAGGCCTTTCCAGCGTTGTTGGCAGGGGGAAGGATGTGTCACAAGCTTTGAGGAAAGACTACCCCTGGTATGATCGCAGCAGCAATGACTTGTGTGCTCCAATCTGACTGGAGCAGCGATTTGGCACAGTGGGCTTGTGCCAGGCAAGAGGATCATGTGAAGGGCTTAGAATGCAAAGCTAATTCATTCGGCTCTGTCATGTTCAGTCAGGGACCACAAACATCAAGGACAAAACTCAACCTGCTTTTGCTGAAGGTACGTTTCTATTTGTTAGATCATGTGACTTTGCTTTAAGGCTGAGACAATAGTTCCCTATGGCAATAGAGATCCCATGAATGTTTCTGAGGATGGTGTGATATGGGATTTTGATTCATCTGGAATGTGTAGGGCTGGAGAGGATGGAGACTAGATGTTGGAAAAGTCCTGATGTGGAGGATAGGACAGTAGCAGTGGAAATGGGAGCACTGGGCGGATGTGGCAGGGAAGAGAATTTGAATGTGATGCCCAGCACCTTGCTGGTCATGCTGGGTCAAGGGGTAGGCTGGGTGATGTTGGCAGTTGACAAGTTCCACTGGGGTGCTACAGGATGTCTAAGTATCAAGAGGAGCAGTCTCAATCCTGAACTCGAGAGAGACAAAGGATATTGATTCAAACCTGGTAGTGACTGTCCACTCAGGGGTTACAAGTCTGACTTTGGGCAATAGCTGTGAGCTCGGTCCTTCTGTAGAAACTAGCTCCCTCTGACCAATCCATCTTTGTCCATCACCTTCACCCCACCCAAATAATGTGACCTTGGAGCAGGGATTATGTGGGGACAGATTTCCTCAGGTAGTTCAGTCCCAAACTGGCCTGTAAAAGCCAGAAGCATCAAGGTCCTTTTCAATTTCCACATGTTTGGCTGAGAATTCATGGCCTACTATCCCAAGGCTCAGGCCCAAAAATATGAAATTAAAGAATCCCAATAGTAGGGGGCTGAAATCCTATTGTTGCCCCAGACTAGTCACATGACCTCAGGAAAGTTACTTTTCTTCTGTGGGTTTGTTTTCCTTTCAATAAAACACCAGAGTTGGTCCTGGATGAGATTATGGTTTTCAAATCCTACTTCTATAAAAAGCTGGGGTCCCATGGCAGGACCATGCCCTACTTCCTAGATTGAGCAGTAACAGACTGTGAATAGTTCCAATAACATTCTCTCTCCTAACATGTTCTTAAATCATTAGCAACCACTACTTTTTGTTTGCCATCAAGGACTCACAGATAACACAGCTAATGAACAAATGGGAAATGCAAATGAATGGGAAAATCTCAAAGTGGGTGACTATATTTTGTTTGACAGTCTTTCTTCTTGTTCTCAGAAACTTCACAATTACGGTTTTATGTTACACACATAACATAATCACTCTGGTTTCCAAAGCTAAGTTCCAGTGGAATTTCAGGGTGCTTTGTAAAAAGGACTCTAGGTTTCGGTGCCTGTAACCTGAACAGACTGGAGAGATATTGGACTCGACACTCTCCAGTGATGTCTTCAGTACTAATCTTTCATCTTATTAACGAAGAATTCATAGCTGCTCGTTGGGAATGCATACAGAACACTGCGCCTTACTCTCATTAATTCATATTTTCCCAACATCCTCGCAAGGTTTTATTATATTCATTTTGTAGATGAGAAGACTAAAGCTCAAATACAGTTAATGGCTACCTCAAGGTCACACAGCTAGTGACAAAGCTGGGATTTGAATCTAGCAGTCTGACTCCAGAGATCCAACTCCTACCCAGTATGCCTGCAGGTCCCTGTCATTAATGCTGTCACCAAATTTTTTCAGTTCTTTCTTGGACACATGGTAAGACTGATCTTCCCTACCCACTTTGGCCAATGAAGTGTGAGAAGTGGTAAGTGTCATTTTGGTAGGAATTTAAGAGCCATTTATCACTGCCACATCCCCTTTCCTTCTGTAAAAGTTGCAGAGACAGAAGGAGCCTCCCTGGGCCCAAGTCCCTGAGTAAGGATGACGCAGAGTAGAAGCCTTCAACCCTCTAATTGACCTGCAATGTGGTATGTGGTGTGAATGAGAAATAACCTTTGCCATCTTTAAACCAGTGAGATGTGGAGATTGTCACTGTGGCATTACCCAGCCTGCGCTGACTAATCCAATGCGATCCTGTCTCTTGTTGATTACATTTGGCTTTAGTCCCCAAGCCTGCCTTGTCCAACCCCCTGAAAGCACTGGCTCCACATTCAGGTTTGAAAAGAGAAGAGTTGAGTCAGTCCCCCAAATATGGAAATGGGGATGTGTTTGGGGGTGATACACCCATGCTCTGCCATGCTCTGGGGCAGAGGTTATACTGAAGGAAGTCTCCCCCAGCCCTGGAAGACCACAGACACAAGCTCAAGCTTTAAGAAGCTTCAAGCTTCTCTCCCATACTCATTTATTGGCTCTCCTTAATTTTATTCCCCGTTTTTAAAGTAGGAAGAACTGGGCTGGCAAGAGGACCGGGCTACCAAGTCCTGGGGGCACTGCAGGCTGACTATGACCTTGCAGGCCTGGATCTGAACTTCCTCCTCAGGGTGGATGACCAGGGCAAGCAGACGGTCTGCCAGTCGTGACCCTTCCCCAAAGAGGGCTTCATGCAGTGACTGTTCATTGTAATGCCAGTTCACAGCACGGTAGTGGGCTACGTTCTGGCCTTCACTCAGCCTCTCAGCAAATACCAGTATTTCATACAGGAGACTCCCTGGGTGTGTGGACTGGAACAGATTCAGGAAGTTGGAGTGCACCTGTGATGGGAATGGTAAAAAAAGCAAGTTTTAAAATGTTTATTCTTCCATCCTCCTAACACCTCAACTCCCTCAATATACCTAAGTTTTAGACTCAACGGTATAGGAGTTTAGTTTTCCTTTCATTATTGCTCCTGGGCTTAAGTGATCTTCCCATCTCAGCCTCCTGAGTAGTGAGGGCTACAGGCACAAGTCACTATCCCCAGATAATATTCATTTAATTTTTTTTTTTTTTTAGAGATGAGGTCTCACTATGCTGCCCAGACTGGTCTCAAACCCCTGGGCTCAAGTGATCTCCCACCTTAGCCCCCTGTCTTTCGGATTACAGGCATGAACTACTATACCTGGCTGAATGTCCACTTGATGACTGTAAAGTATTCTAGGTAAATGTAATGGCTCAAGCTTATTTGTGTTATTTATAGCAAAGATACCCTTACTAGTTTTAGTTTCTTATCTATTGACTGCTGAGATTCTAGTTCAAATCTCTCAAGTCTCCCACTGTGGGGGTGGTGGATTTGTTACTCTTTGTAATTCCATCAAGTTTTGCTATATATATAATCTGAGATTATGTTATTAGGTTTGGGGTTTTTTTTTTTTTAAGACAGAGTCTCACTATGTCACCCTAGGCAGAGTTCTATGGCGTCACAGCTCACAGCAACCTCAAACTCCTGGGCTTAAGCGATTCTCTTGCCTCAGCCTCCCAACTAGCTGGGACTATAGGCGCCCGCCACAACACCCAGCTATTTTTTGTTGCAGTTGTCACTGTTTAGCTGCCCAGGCCAGGTTCGAACCTACCAGCCTGGGTGTATGTGGCCAGTGCTGTAACCACTGTGCTACAAGCACCACGCCTATGTTATTAGGTTTAGTGTTGCTTTATCATTTGAGGAGACCGAATCACTGACTATTACATAATTATCCCTTTTATCCCTAATAATGTTCTTTACATAAGTCATTTTTCCACTAATATTAAAATATCTGTGGCTGGGCGCAATGGTTCATGCCTATAATCCTAGCTTTCTGGAAGGCCGAGGCAGGTGGATTGCCTGAGCTCACAGGTTTGAGATAAGCCTAAGCAAAAGCAAGACCCTGTCTCTAAAAAAAGAGGTGGGCATTGTGGTGAGCACCTGTAGTCCTACCTACTCAGAAGGCTGAGACAAGAGAATTGCTTGAGCCCAAGAGTTTGAGGTTGCTATGAGCTGTGACACTACGACACTCTACTGAGGGCAACAAGTCAGACTCTGTCTCCAAAAAAAAACTATATTAACTTTCGTTTTGTCTATGTTCCTAAATCTAGGAGTTCATAAAGCCCCCCATGGGAGAATCTCCCTCTCAAAAAAATGAATCCTCATTCTATTGGGAGAACAGAAGAGGCGATAGTTTTCTTTCTCTCTCTTTTTTTAGAGACAAGGTTCCACTCTGTCACCCAGGCTGGAATGTAATGGCACAGTCATGGCATACTGCATCCCCAAACTCCTAGGCTCGAACAATCCTCCCACCTCAGCCTCCCAAGCAGCTGGGACTAGTTGTATACCATCATGCTTGCCTAATTTCTTAATTTTTCATAGAGACAAGGTCTTGCTATGTTGCCTAGCCTGGTCTTAAACTCCTGGCCTCAACCAATCCTCCCACCTCAACTCCCAAGTAGCTGGGATAACAGGTATGAGCCACTGTACCCAACGAGGGATGGTTTTCAATACATTTAGTGCAAAGGTAGGAAGAAGAGTAAGACAATTCATCAAGGCTAATTCTGTATGAATAAGCCATGATTCTTCCCTTGACAATTTCTGAGTTGGCATCAACCCCTCTTCAGTTTCTTTCTCACCTTGCAGTTGAGAATATCATAGAGAAGGTCATTCTTCTGTGCCAGGTAGCTCAGCAGTCGTGCAGCTTGCACCTGAATAGAAGGAAGAATAAAGCATGGGAAGGAAGGTGAATCTGGGCCTGAGTAGGGAAAGACATAAACTTGCCCTCCTCCCTCTGGGTGCCATGCTGGGGCTGGTCAGGAAGGCAGGGCCTTGGTCGTGGTCCTCGGGCACCTGTGCCAAGATGTAGTCTGACTGCAGAATCTCCATCAAGGCAGGCATCACCCGTCGCAGCTGTGGATGCACATAGTCAGGCAGTGGAAGGTTGTTGAGGAGTCTGAGGCCCGCAATGTGCAGCTCTGTGTCCCAGATGGTGGAGATCAGTTCCAATACCTTGATGGAGAGTTCCTAGGGTGGGGGAAGAGAAGGGTCGCTTTTATGCAGGGATCCCCACCACAGTCCCAGTCTCTGACTTTACTCCTCACTACCCCCACCCATGATGCCCAGGCCAACCCAACAGACAGTTCTCCCTAGCTGAATTCTCAACATCATTTGACCTCATTGACCATTCCCATGCCTTTAAAAGTCTCCCTTCACTTGGCTTCTCTTTCACAGACTTCCTCCCTAGTTCTGCCAAACTGCACTTCTCTACCTCCATCATTCCCTTAGGGATATCACCCAGACTCACAGCATTAAATACTGTCCACATGCTGAAGACTTTCAAGTTTAAGTCTTCAGCTCAAGCCTCTCCCTGAACTCCAGACTCAAATGTTCAGCTGCCAACTCCACTTTTCTCCCTGAAGATCTAAATGCTTCTTCCACAGCCTTCCCTGTCTCAGATACGGTTATGCCTTTCTTCCAGTTGCTCAGGCCTAAATTCTGTGGTATTCTTGACTCCTTTCTTTCCCACCTCTTTTCCTACCCTTCAGAAAATCCTGTTCTTTAATGTCTATTAAAAATCAAGCCACTTCTCACCACTCCCGCTTCTACTGCTCTCTTCTGAGCCACCATCATCTCTCACCTGGATTTCCGCACTAGCCTCCTGTCTCCCTGTTTCCATCCACACCCACTCATTTAACATGTTAGACATGTTACTCCTCTGCTCAAGAGCCCCCATTTCATTCAGGGTGAAAGTTAAGGTCCTTATGGTGGCACATTGTCCCCTAGGATCTGTCCCTTCTCCCCCCTGCTTATTTGATCTCATCTCCTCTCCTTTGCCCCTGTGGTTCCCACAATGGTCTCCTCAGTTATTCCTGGAATATGCCTGGTACACACCTGTCTCAAGGTTTGCACAGGCTGTTCCCTCTGTGCAGAACACTCTTCTTCCAGAGACTGGCAACTCACCCTTACCTCTTGCAAGTCTTTGCTTACATGTTGCTTTCTCAGGGAGGTTTTTCCCAACCACCCTCATTCTAGCCTTCCCTAGCCTTCTTTTCTTCATAGCATTGCCACATGTAAAACACCTTTCCTATGTAAACTTTCTATTTTGAGATAATTATAAATTCCCAGGAAGTTGCAAAAATAACACAGAGAGGTCCCTTGTGCTCTTCCCCCAGATTCCCTCAGTGGTTACATCTTATACAACCAGAGCATAATAGCAAGACTAGGAAACTGCTGTTGATAAGTGTGCATAGTTCTATGTCATTTTATCACACCCACGGATGGGTATCACCACCACTAAGATCCCTCAGAACTTGCCCACCACCCCAAAGATTTCCATCATGGGACACCTTTATGGTCACTCCCACCTACTCCCCCAGCCTAAAACCCCAGGAAACCACTAACCTGTTTTCTATCTGTAATGTTTCCCATTTTGAGAATGTTATATAAATGGAATCATACATTATGTGAACTTTTGTGATTGGCTTTTTTCACTCAACATGTGAAAACACCCTTGGGATCTACCCAAGCTTTTGTGTGCATCAGAATTTCATTCCTTTTATTACTAACCAGTAGCATTAGATGGAGGCACCACAGTGTGTTTACCCATTCACCTGTTGAGACTGGTTGTTTCCAGTTTGGGGCTATTATAAATAAGGTTGCTATGAACAAAGGAGTACAAGTTTTTATGCAAATGAAGGTTTTCATTTTTCTAGGATAATCACCAGGGGTAAATGTCTATTTAGTTTTGAAAGAGACTACCAGACTATTTTCCAGAGTGGCTGCTGTACCATTTTACATTCCCACTAGCAACGTATGAAAGAAGTGTTTCTCTGCCTCTTTGCCAGCATTTGGTATTTTTACTAATTTTCATTAGATCTTCTACTAGCACATAGTAATATCTGACTGCCGACTCAATTTGCCTTTTCCTAATGACTAGTGATATTAAATATATTTTCCAGTGCTTATTTGCAATCCATGTACTTTTTTATTTCTTCATGTCTTTTGCTAATTCCCTAACTAGATTCCATGTTTTCTTTAATACTGAATTTTGAGAGCACTTTATACTGTAAGACAGACAAGCCCTTTATCATATACATGGTTTGCAAGTATTTTCTCCCAGTCTGCAGTTTGTCTTTTCATCCTCTTAACATAATCGTGCTTTTGGTGCCATAAACAATTTGCCAAGTTCAAGGTCCCAGAAGATTTTCTTCCTCAAAACTGCCCCACCCTGCCCATTTCTTCTCTTCTTTTTCTCTGTAGCACCACATGAAATACACTACATATTTTACTTATTTGTGCACTGCCTCCTTCATCCTGTTGGAATATAAATCTTACGAGGACAGGAATCTTTCCTGTTCTATTTACTGCTTTCTCTCTAGTACCTAGAATAGCATGTTGGCATAAGGCAAGTGATCAATATACTTTTGTTCAATGAATGAAGGGATCTTGGGTTCTGAGATGCAATGTGCTTGGACCTACAGGTATTACCAAAGACAGGTAACCTCATAAGCTGTACCGTAAGTGGACCAGGGAAGAAATAAACCAGAATCCTGGAGGGGAAGTTGGCATCCTATTAGTACCCTGCTCTTCTTTCCCCCACCCTTCACTGTTTGCTGAGAACTGAAGGTTAGATTCAGCAAGTCTGGGGCTGCATTTCAGGAACAGGGAGCAGCAGGTGGCAGGGCCAGGGCATGGAAGAATATAAAGCACCCAGTGTAAGTGGCTGGGTTAAGGCAGGGAGGTGTAACCCACCACCAATCACACACTGTGCTGAGAGCCTCGAGGCCAAAGGACAGAGGGCTGATGAGACTAAAGACCTCTGGAGAGTACAGTATGACTAAGGGAAATGATGTGAGCTCCCCTTAGGATATGTTGGGTCAGTGGATACGTCCAGTAGCAGCTGGCCATGGGGAAGACGTGAGGGGAGCCCTCAGGCTTCAGAGATCCAGAAGAGCACATCTGGATGGAAACTGAGATCAGGGAGTAACTACTTTTAACCTGGAAAGAAAACAGGGGTCAGGTCCTCAGGGTACAGACACTGGAACAAACAAATAGTGAACGTCAGGCCACCTGTATCAGAATTCTCTGGGGGACTTGTGAGAAATACTGCTCCCCAGTTGAACTAAACACCCTAGGTATGGGCCCCCAAATTTCTGGGTTGTTTCTTTATTTGCAGTTTTTGGCCGGGGTTAGGCTTGAACTCACCACCCCTGATATATGGGGCCAGGGCCCCATTCCTTGAGACATAGACGCCACACTGTTATTGTTTCTTTTTGAGACAGTCTGTTGTTTCTTTTTGAGACAGTCTCAAGCTGTCGGCCTGGGTAGAGTGCTGTGGCATCACAACTCACAGCAACCTCAAACTCTTGGGCTCAAGCAATTCTCTTGCGTCAGCCTCCCAAGTAGCTGGGACTACTGGCACCTGCCACAACGCCTGGCTATTTTCTGGTTGTAATTGTTGTTTTAGCTGGCCTAGGCCAGGTTTGAACCTGCCAACCTGGGTGTATGTGGCCGGCGCCCTACCCACCGAGCTATGGGCCTAAACTTCTGCTTTTAACCAGCTTTTCAAGCTGTTCTGACATACTTGAGAATCACAGCTTTAGAGAAACAGAGCTGAGGGAGCCACCAGCGAGTGGAGATCTAGAGACTCTTTGTTTCTCAATCTGTTTTTGTTTGTTTTCTGAGACAGTCTTACTTTGTCACCCTTGGTAGAGTGCCATGGGTCATAGCTCACAGCAACCTCAAACTCTTGGGCTCAAAGGATCCGCTTTCCTTACTTCCCGAGTAGTGGGGACTATAGACGCCCACCACAATGCCTCTATTTTTAGAGACAGGGTCTTGCTCTTGTTCAGGCTGTTCTGGAACTCCTGAGCTCAAGCAAACCACCTTCTTGAACCTCCCAGAGTGCTAGGATTACAGGCATGAGCTACCACACCCAGCGGTTCAATCTCTTTTTATTTTTGTGTGTGTTTTCTAATTGATATATCATAGTTGTACATATTTTGGGGGCACATATAAAGAAACTTCTCCCCCCAAAAATGAGGGGAAAAATTTGCAAAAAATTTAAAAGTGAGACGTTATCAAGTGTTGGTGAGAGTACAACACAGCAGGAACACTCATGCAGGGGTGGGGGGTAGATTGGTACAACCCTTCTGGAAAAGTTGGGCAATACCCTTTGACCAAGCCATCCCACTCCTGCACACCCACCCTACAGGAACTCTCCCAGGTACATGAGGCAGATGTACCCAACAATGTTTACAGCATGGAGTGGGTGCAGCAAGCACCTGGAAACAACACAAATGCCTACCAATGGGCCAATGGTGTACTATTCATAAAACAAAATACTATGGAACAGTGAAAAAAAAGGAAAGAGTTGCCCAGTAAGGTGAAATGTTGGAGGAAAAAAAGCAAACCGCAAAATACAAACCACCTACTCCCAGATACACTTAAAACATCCCAGGCTACATTAACCTATTTGTTATCTGCCTGGCCCTGCTAGAATATACAGGGACATATGTGGTAAAACTACAAAGAATATACAGGGACATTATGTGGAAAAACTACAAAGAAAATCCCATAACTGATAAACAAAATGCAGGGCAAAAATGGCCTCTGGTGGGGGAGGTGGTTAAGATTGGTGAGGGGGGCTACCTGGGGGTATTTGTATCTTTGCCTGGGTCTGGTGATCCATGTTTTATTTTATTGCTATTCTTTCTACTTTACATATATATATTTCTTTTAGGTATTTTTTTTTTGAGACAAAGCCTCAAGCTGTCACTTTGGGTAGAGTGCCATGGCATCATAGCTCACAACAACCTCCAACTCCTGGACTTAAGCGACTCTCTTGCCTCAGCCTCCCAAGTAGCTGAGACCACAGGTGCCCACCACAACACCTGGCTATTTTTGGTTGCAGCCATCATTGTTGTTTGGTAGGCCAGGGCTGGATTCAAACTTGTCAGTTCAGGTATACATGGCTGGCACCTTAGTCGCTTGAGCCACAGGCCCACCTTCCTTTTTTTTTTAAATTGAGATTGAGTTGTACTCTGTTGCCCAGGCTGGAGTGCTACGGTGTTACTATAGCTCACAGCAACCTCAAACTCCTAAGTTTCATGATCCTTCTGCCTCAGCCTCCTGAGTAGCTGGGACTACAGGCGTCTGCCACAACACCCAGCTAATTTCTTCTATTTTACAGGGTCTCACTGTAGCTCAGACTGATCTTAAACTCCAGAGCTTGAGATCCTCCTGCTCTGACCTCCCAGAGTGCTAGGATTATAGGCATGAACCACCATGCCAAACAGATATTTTACTTTTTTAATTTGAGAGAAATAGACATTTGTCTAGGGTGAGACTAGGTCAAGGAAAAAGTTTTCCTGGTGTTCCTTATAAAATGGGAGGTATTGGAGCTGACAGGAAGGAGCCTGGGAGGGTACCTGCAACAGAGGGAATAAGCAATAAGAGGGACAGGGTGCAGGACTGAGACTAGCACTGTCCAGAGACAGGGAGAAAGCCATGTTCTCCTGGCACCAGCAGAAAAGCAAGGAGGACAGGCATAGAAACAGGTGAGTCTGGGAGTATTATAGTAGGAAATATGAGAAGTGACATCTAGTGATTTAACATTTCTCCTACAGGGTGGTGGTGAAATCATCTGTGGTCCAGCCACCAGCCTCTAACCAACACAGGCATTAGGGATGTGGTATAATAATATATTTTTAAATCTTTGTCATTCCAGGAACAGAGCTCCTAAAACTCTTCAGAAGTCCTGATTGATAGTAGTGTCTTGTTAATTCTTAACCCTTTTGGTCACACCAGAGTTTATGCCAGTGAGGTGACTCTTGGGAGGGTCCTTAGGTAGCTTCAGGGTGGGAGTTGGTCACCAGAAAGACCAAGGTCTGATGAAAAGTTTGGGATTTTTAACCCCTAACCTTTGGGAAGGGAGAGGGGCTAGAACCGTGGTTCTCAACCCGTGGGTTGTGACCCCTTTGGACTATATTAAAGGGTTGCAGCATTAGGAAGGTTGAGAACCACTGGGCTAGAAATTAAGATCAATCGCCAATGGCTGATTTATTCAACCTTGCTTACATGACAAAATCACCATAAAAACCTCTAGCCAATGAGATTCAGAAAGCTTCCAGGAGATTGGGGGGGGAGTGTGTGCACAGAGAGGGCCTGGAAGCTCTGTGCCCTTTCCCCCATCCCTTGCCCAATTCATCTGGCTATTCCTGATTTGTGTCCTTTATAATAAATTGGTAAATGTAAAGTATCTTTCTGAGTTATGTCAGTCATGTTAGCAAGGCAGTTGTAGGAATCCCTGAATTCATAGCTGCTGTCCGAAGTCAGATTTGCTACTGGCATCTTAAGTGGGCACGGTCCCACAAGACTTACCCTGTGGGGTCTATGCTGACCATGGATAGTTAATGTCAGAACCAAATGGGTGGATACTCAGCTGGCACTGATAATTGGTTGGTGTCAGAAAGATCCTTGGGGGATCATTCTTTGAGGTTCAGAGGTACCACCCTAGGTCCAGTTTCCTCCTGAGAGTCAAAGGCCTTCATGACTCTGCTGGGAATTAGACTACTATCTCCCTATTTATTTCTAGGTTACAAACTAAGATCCAAACAAACTTCTGGAACATGAGCGCTAATCCTGTGCCAATTCAAGGACTCAAGTTCTATGGACATCCATCTGTGTGCTCTGCCCCACCACTGGGCCCTGCACTCACCTGGATTTTGAGCCTGAATTTTCTGATGCCAGAAAAAGCTTTAAGTGTATTCAGAGCTTGGATTTTGACACTGTTGTCCTTGTCATCCAGCATGTAGCCTATTAAACTGATGTCATCGGTAGTACAAGCAGAGGCCTGGAGTATGTGGGGATAGACAGAAGAGGCAGGAAAAGCGGGAGTCCTGGGCCCACTGGCCTCCCATGTCACAACCCCTCAATACACCCTTCCCACCATCAGCCAAAGAGAGACAGGTCCCAGGACACTGTCTGGCCAGGCCAGGGACAGGAATTGGCTATAACCCCCAGGGACCAGGTTGGCTAGGAGGGGCCTCCTGCTTCCCTTCCCTCACCTCAGCCTCCAGCAAGTACACACAGCGAGTGATGCTGTGCAGGATCATGCTCTTGGCGTACTCATCCTGTTTGCACTCCAAAGAGTTGAGGAGCCTCCGGAGCTCACCTGAGTCCCGCCCGTGCCGCTCTCGCTCGATTGCCAGGCCTAGACAGCCACCCAGCCCAGTTCAGGCTGTAGACTCAGAAGTAATGAAAGAATGGGGTTGGGAAGCAGGGGCAGGGACCTGGGGACAATGCTGCCTTGCCTCTTTTGAAAAGAAGCCTTCTCAGTATATGCAGGACCACCACATACAACTGAATGAGGCATGTACTGCACACAGGCACCACATCTAATTTTATATTGTCCATAGCATATAGTCATAAATTTGTCTATTTACTGTAATAATTTTCCAGAATATGGCACTAACAATTAGTGTTTCACTAAAACAAGTATATAGTAATGATCTTCCAGCAGATGGCAACAAAGAGTCTTGCAGAAGGGGCAGCTTTCCCCCACATGCACAAAAGAAACATACAGGCTTAATGGAAGCTCTGGGCATGTAGGTCCTCCAATTTTCCCTTTCCTTAAAGTCTCCACTTCCTGGGGCAGGAAAGGGATGGGGGAGCTGCTGATGCCAAGTTTCCAAGAAGTGGAATCCTGGGAGCCGGCGTAAATGTGGTATTTGGAGACTTGCCACATGAGTCTGAGTATCCTTTTGAATGAGATCCAGGGACCCTGAACCAGTATCTCTAGCAGGGCCTTGCCTAGGGCACTGCAGGGTGGGCTTGAGGAAAATGAAGAGAAAAGGAAGGAAAGAGGAACTTGGAGGAGTCACCTTTGGGCCCGCCCACATCAGAGGCCTCGGGAGCAGGTGCCTCCTGGGGCAGAGCCCTCTCCCCAGGGACTGGACACTCACGGGCGATACAGATGGGTGAGTTGCTACAGAGGGGTGGTTGGCATTTTATGCCGGCCTTGATGGCCTTGTAGAGCAGGTAGATGGCCCCAGCGCCCGTAGCCAGGCTCACTACACTTTTGCGGATGTCCAGTTCCTTCAGGTATTGGGGGATGCTCTTGCCCATGTCTTCAGCTTTGCCTTGTGCCCAGGTGGGAGGTAGGCCCAAGGTACCTGAGAGGAGCCTTCCGGAACCAGAACTTTGGCAGGGCCAGGAACCAGGGTACCAGAATCAGAACCCAAGCAACAAAGGAAACTGAGGAGACCATGAGATGAAATATGGAGGTCAGGAAATTAGATAGTCAGGGATCCTTCAAAAAAGAGAAAGTTGAGTTTTAGAGCCTGCAGGAACAGCAGCATGAGACCTCAGGAGAATTAAAAAGGCAGGGGGCACACCCCCCATATCTTTAGGGGAGCCAGGTTGGTGGGGCTCCAGCAGGCCTCTCCCCCATTAGAGGGCAGCAGAAGTTAGTTCTGGGCTGGAGCCTTTTGAGAAAGGGTGTTTCGGGTATGCCCACTGGCAGCTCTTCTCTTGTCCTCCTATCTGTGATCTTTCCACCATAGATTTACATGTGGGCCTTGTTCTTCAGGCAGGGCTCCCTGCTCCCCAAGGAAGATGAAAAGGAGGGGAGCATCTTATAAAGTATGCGAGTCTGGAGACAAATCCACCACTTTTCAGCATCTGCACATTGCTCTGGAGGTTACTTGTTTGACAAAAGCTCTTGAGGGCAGTTGTTTTACATCTCTAGCATCTGGTACAGAATCCTGCACTTGGTGAGTGCTTGAGCCATGTTCTGTCATTGAGGACCTGGGGGCAGAATGATGACAGAGTCTACTGGGGCTCCAGGCCCATCTAAGCAGAGTGATCCTGAAAGAAAATAGGATTGCTCTTGCCTGGGTCTTAGCTTCTGCATTTGTAACCTGAAGACTTACCATTATAAAACCCCAAGACTGAAATATGAGTACATGCCTTTCAGCCATGGTGGGTCTAAATCTGGGAGCACCACCTCTCAGCCGCCCCACAAGTGGGATGAGGCTTGAGACTCCCTCTGGAGATGAAAAATGTCACCACCCCAGGGTATGGGAGCCCATCTTTGGAAGCCTTGAGCTCCACCACTAGGATGAGGCAGGTAAGACCAGACCCTTCTCTCCTCCCCACATGACCTGAACCCACTCTTTGCACCAGAACAGTGAAATCACAAGCCCCAAGCTAGGGGCAGGCCCAGAACCAGGGCTGAGCATAGCTGAACCAGAATAGAGCTTCACCTACCTGCCTTTGAGTACCTCTGGGGACAGAAGGCTCTGGGTCCTGGGTTGCACCTGGGCTGGAGGGAAGTGGGGAAACAAGGAAACAGTATTTGCAGTGATGCTGTGGCCAGCCAGGCCTGCCCACTCAGAGCCTTGCTTGGCCCATCACACCCTAGGTGGCAGGCAGGGAACAAGCAACATTCCTGGGTGGTCATTCTCTTCCCATCCTTTCTTCCACCCTCAGCCCTCCTCTAGGGTCATTCCTGGCAGTCTATTCAGCCCCCTGATGTGAGTGACTGCATGGGCTCCCACACAGCTTCTCTCTTGCCATGCCACTACCCCTCACAACCCATGAACTCTGAGTAGAAAATGGCTGCCTGATGGGAACTGTCATTTCAGGTTCCAAGACTGCTTTGGGGGATCTGAGACTAATTTCCTCAGACAATGTTCCTGCTTTGCCCTTCTGCACAGTGGGACCCAGAGTCACCAGCCCTTCCATTCCATGGACTGATTCTATAATCCTCACATTCTAAGCAAATGTGCTGCTCACCTGTTCTTAAAGACCTCCAAAGACAGTTCTTTCTTGGCTGCAACCTAACTTCCCCCTACTACATCAAAAGCCCAGTTCTTCTGGTTCTATCTTCAAGCAATTCAGAGGAATCAGAGGCAGAGTCATCTCTAGGGTGACATTTTCACTAGATAACAACACAACAAAACAATTAAGACAGAGGACAGAGGAACATCTATTTGTTAGTAGAAAGTCAATGATTATCCTTGGGAATAACTGTTTTCAATTCAGATGTCATGTCTATTTTGAAGAGAATTAAATTTTTTAAAAATAAAACGACAGTGATAATACATGGTATGTCTCAAACATTCTTAGGGAAGATAAATTAATAGCTACAACTCTTTATGGGAACCTGGCTTTCACTTATTTTCTTGGTTTGTTTTTCTGTCAAATCCAGAAATCTGGAACCATTGGCTAGAAAGAAGTCTAGAGTCAGTATGCACACAGCCAGGCACCTGCCCTCACCAAGGAAAAGTACATGGGCTGCCCAACCACATACCTCTTTGCTATCTGTTCCAGCCTTTTTTTTTCTGAGACAGAGTTTTACTATGTCACCCTCGGTGGAGTACTGTGGTGTCACAGCTCAATTCTTGGACTTAAGCGATTCTCCTGCCTCAGCCTCCCAAGTAGCTGGGACTACAGGCACCCACCACAACGCCCTGCTACTTTTTGTTGCAGTTGTCACTGTTGGTTAGTTGGCCCAGGCTGGGTTCAAACCCACCAACTTTGGGGTATGTTGCTGGTGCCATAACCACTGTGTTATGGGGGCTGAGCTGTTCCAGCTTTTTGCCTTCAAGGCTGAAGTTCTCATTGTTTTAAGTGCAGTGTACTTCAGTGGATGAGTGCTGATTCTAGACTAGTGGTTTTCAACCTATGGGTCATTGACCCCTTTGGGGGTCGAACGACCTTTCACAGGGGTCACCTAAGACTACCCTGCATATCAGATATTTACATTACAATTCGTAACAGTAGCAAAATTAGTTATGAAGTAGCAACAAAAATAATTTTATGGTTAGGGGTCACCACAACATGAGGAACTGTATTAAAGGGTCACAGCATTAGAAAGGTTGAGAACCACTGTTCTAGACAGACTACCAGGGTTCAAAACCAGTTCAGTCACTGACTGAGCTTAGTGATCTCTTTGTGCTTCACTTTTCCCATCTGAAAAATAGCACTAGTAAAACTTACTTTGTGGTGCTGTGAGGATTAAATAAAGCACTCGAAGCAGTGCCCAGCACACAGAGTTCAACAAATGTTAACTATAATCATAATTATTATAAGCAGGTTTCACCTGGACAAAAATGTTGGCTGTGGACAGCCAGAGAGAACACAGATGCTGGGCCTCCATGCCTTCAAAAGTACATTAATCAGTCCCTTCCACTCTTCTACCTCTTACCCTGTTCTTAAGGCTAATCAATCCCCATTCCTGTAACCCACTTAACTGCTCTGAAGAACTTCAGAACCCTGTCTGAAATCCGGAGCACTATCCCCTCAGCCAATTCTCCCTGAGCTACTTGATTCCTAAAAACTATCTAACCGCCTGTGAAGTCTAAGGCTACTTATTCTTTCTACCAGCACCCTGGCAGTGGGCACTTTAGCAGTTAAAGAGATAAGCTCCAGCCAGATGCAGTTGGGGACCCTGCAAGGAAGACACCCTGCTAGGCCATTACCAGGTTGACTCTGCAGCCGCCCAGCAATTGTGTGCACAGAGGGGGAAGGGAGATTAGGCTTCTCCATACTCCAGTGAAAAACTCTTTGCAGTCCGACCGGATGGGGTTCAAACCCAGCAGTTGGGAGTTTGAACAGATTTCATAATCTAAGTCTGTTTCCTCCTCCAGAGTCCATTAATACCTATGTACTACCTGGAAGTGCTGCTGTCAGGAGTGACTGAGAGAACGTGTTGTTACTCTGGGTGCACAAGGGACGCTCAACACGCGCGGGCTTCCGCGGCAGAAAGCCAGACAGCCGAGAGATGAAAGGCCGGGGCCGCCCCTGCCCTGACGTGGATCCCTCACTCTCCGAGATCATTCCCTCTCCAGCTTACCCCGGCCCGGGAACCAGGTTCTGGGGCCTTGGGGTAGCTCACTACTCGGGCGAAGGAAGCTGGGCAAAAGCACCGGGAATCCAGGGGGCTAACGCTCCCAGGGGAGGGGGACGGCGGGGGGCGGAGGCGGCGCCTTTCCCCGCCGCGGGCCTCCCCCCATCTAGCTCTCCCTCCCCGGGCTACCTCCTCCCCCCGCGCGCATCCGGCGACGGGCACAGGATGTTCTTTCGCTCCCGTCCCCCCCTCCGCCCCCGCTCTCACTTTCTCTTCGCTCCCCTCCCCCACGCCCGCCCCGCCCGGCGCCGGCACCTAGTTTAACTCTTTCCCTCCCGCGCCCAGCGGCGCCTGCGCGCCTCCTGGGACTCCCACCCTTCCCGCCCGCCCCCCAGGATGCGGAGCGAGCCCGAGCGGCCCGGAAAGGGGTGGGTCTGGGCTGAGCTTTAGGCCCGAGTTCTCAGGATACTCTAACCCGTCGCGGGTGGAGGGGTGGAGACCGCTCACAGCTACGGAGGCTGGCTCTCTTCGGAGCCCCCGCGAGTTCACCCGGCTGAAGGTGGGGTGCCTGCACTCTACCAAGCCGTGCCCCCGAGGGGGCAGCCATGAGCCTGCAGCTAGCTCCAGCCCGGCGGGGGCGGGCAGGTTCTTAGCCTTCAATCTCATCCTCCCCTCAGGTTCCAACAAGGAGGGGCGCACAGCTTCCAGAGAGGATGGAGAGAGGCCACGCCCTACGCGTAACGTCCCTGCTTCCAAGGCAACCGGGGGCGGGGCAATGGCTGTTGAAGGACAGACCTCAGGGAGTAGAGGCTGCCGGATGCTCCGGCATGGGGTAGGGGTGGAAGCGCGGCGGGGGCGGGCTTTTCAATTTTTGCTTCTTCACTCACTGATGTTCAAGACACTGAGGCACAGCTTCTGTTTGCTTGTTCATTCAACAGACATTGAATGAGTTTTAACTATGTTTGGCTCCATGCTTAGGTACTTGATTACAGTGTTTGCCAGTAATTGTGAACTAGGATAAAGTCGCCATGCCTCCCGGTTACATCCCTGGAACTGGTGTAATTTTTAGTAGTGTCCCTTTTTTTTTATGAGACAGTCTCACTTTGTCGCCTTCAGTAGAGTGCTGTGGCGTCATAGCTCACAACAACCTCAAACTCTTGGGCTCAAGCGATCCTCTTTCCTCAGCCTCCCGAGTACCTGGGACTACAGGTGCCCACCACAACGCCCGGCTATTTTTAGAGACTGGGTCTTGCTCTTGCTCAGGTTGGTCTCCAACCTGTGAGCTCAATCCACTCATCTCGACCTTCCAGAGTGCTAAGATTACCGGCATGAGCCATCACTCCCGGCCCTGGTGTCCCTTTCTAGCTTAAAATATCCCAGTCTGGGGGGTAGTTAAAGAAGACCTTTAACCCAGTGCAGGGATAAAGAAACTGGCTCAGAACTGTTAATAAGGAGACTATCCAAAGTTAAACAGTTAACTGTTGGAATCAAAATCCAAGTCTGTCTGGGCCTTCAAAGTACCTCAATCCTACTTCTCAAAATAAATAGATAATATCAAATAAATAAAAGGCTCTGCCCCTGCTATGAAAGAGCTAATAACCTATGGGGAGAGGGTTAAAGTACTATAGGGTCATAACTAAGTAATAAAATATAGAAAAGACTGAAGGTAGTTTATAAAGCTTTGAGGGAAGATGACAAAAGGATCACAGTGGGATGGAAATTATCAGAGCCTTCCTGCAGGAGATTGTGAGCTGGGTCATGAAGTGGTGATGAGGCTAGGACCACTGTGTGTGTGTGTGTGTGTGTGAGAGAGAGGGAGATGAGAGAGAGAGAGATGTAGTGCCAAGTAAGAGAACAGACAGCACAGGGACCCACAGCTAGGCTAGGAATCTCTGAACAGCAAGAAGATCCCTCTGTAAACTTTAAAGCCACTGGTTCACCACTCTCCTTTCTGTGTTCTACCCTGTCCCCTGGTTTTAGTGGAGCAGAGACTCTGAGCAGGCAGCTGCACTCATTCCACTCTGCACTCAGGTCTTTGGAGCTGGTGTTTTGGCACAAACTCCCTTATGTTAACTTGGATATCAGCTTCCCCCCTCCCCATTCCCCTCTGAAGACTTTGGGGGAAATGAAAGATAATGGGTCTTCAAAACAAAAAGGGCCCAAGTGAGCATCATTAAGCCAATAGGCTTGATAGGAATAGTGAGACCAAGTCAGGAGAAAGAATTGGGTAAGAAAGGACCACCACCAAATGGCTAGGTCAATTGAGGAACATTACTGCCCTCCTGCTGTGCAGCAGGCACTGTGCTAGACTCTGTGGTCTGGCCATTTCTTCATTTCTATGAAGAAATTCAGGTCCCTTCCTACAGAACACACAGATTAGTAGCTGGTATATCCAGTGTGTTGGCTGAGGAGTCGTATGTTGATAACATACACAATAAATGATGTTTGAGAAAGATTATTCCAGTAGGGTGTGTAGGAGGAAGGAAAATCTGAGTCAGAAAGGACAGTGTGGCAGCTGCTGTGGGAATTTGGGCCAAAGGTGGAATCCGTGGGGCTGGAGATGAAGGAGTGAATGAGCAAAGTAATGAAAATATCAATACATTTTGAAATAAAAGCAAGGAATGGAAGAATTGCAGAATTTTGTAACATGTAGGATATAGGATGATGAAGGAGAGAAAGTAGTTAAAAATCCACCTTCATAGTGAATTTCAGGGACTGGGAGGATCAAGGTGGGCAGTGGGGAGGAGGGGCTGGGTGTGGGTCATAAAGACAAACTCAGTCACTTCTAGCACATGTAAAGGCAAGGGTCCTTTAGGTGACTGAACTTGGAGACAGGTAAGTCTAGAGGGCAGTGGGATGCCTTCTTGAGAGAGTGTCTCTGTCACAGCTTCAGAGCAGTCACTGGCCTGGGATATCATGGACAGATTTCATAATTTCATGCATCAGGTAGAAGGTAGGAGTAGATGGCAGTGAAGGTGCCTCCAGACTGGGATACAGGGCGGATGTAGCTGTATGACAGCCTGTGTGGGAAAGTGGTCCATAGCCCAGGCCTGTGTTCATACTTTTCCTCACCTTTGGCCACAAAGGGTGCCAGAGATGCCATCAGATGGGCTTTGGCCAGTGAGGCCCAGAGAAGGTACTTCAGCAGCCTGGGGTCCCTCCATCAGCCCCACC